CTTGTTGCCAGCTGAAAGATAATCGCCCATGCAGTAATTATCCAATAGGAGGCTCCTACCTATTTGCTTAGTTGAATCCAGGTGGCGACTTTTTTTTTTTGACCAGAAATTCTCCTGAAGTATAAACAGCCCTGAATCATGAAGATGGAAGCATGAATGTGAAGCAGAGCTCAGCGTCTGGTCTGCGTTGATCCCAGATAATCAATCTGTGGCGTTCAGTCACCGAGGACTGAAGCCGTCATCGGATGAGTCGACATCAGAACTCGTTTTAAGTCTTATTTTGGTTTTAACTCTTAACCACCATCACTGCATTAGTCACTAAAGGTAAACGCTGTTATGCTAGGTGATAAACAGATCAGGACATAAAGGTGTAATAAAAGGAAAAACCAAACGCAGGATTTCATTCGGTTCCAGAATGTCGTTTCTGCTGCAGCTCAGATCCTTCGACAGAGAAAAGTCCAGCTTAGTTTTAATAATACATTTTATTCCATGAAAGGTTGTTTTTTTTTTTCTAGTTTTACACTGGAATGTCAGAATTCCCCTTCTGCAATTTCATAAAAATAAAAAAAGAAAAGAAAAAGAAGAAGCTCATTCTAGTCATTTTGACCCCACATCCACAATCATTGATAATTTGAAATCGGGGGAGAAATACAAGCAAAAGAAAAACAAAACAAAAAGATGAATGTTAGTCCATGGATGATGCTGATGCTCCTCGGTGTAAGTAAAGGATGACTGGGGGGGGGATTTCTCAGCACAAACAACCAGGAGTGGTTTAATGGTGTTCCAAGCAGTCCAATGGTTTTACTGGTTCTGGTTGGCGCTCCACCTAAACGCTCCAAGTTAAATGAAAACAGCAGAGAAACAAACAGATTTGACTTTTTTTGGGGTGAATCCCATCAAGAAGAAAAAAAAAAAAAAAAGAGCAAATCACAAGACTGTTTCTATGAGTGACGCTACAGTCAGGGGGAGCCGTTCATCAAGGAGGCGGAGCTAAACCAGCAGGCGTGGCTGAGGTGGAGGCCGATGCCTGGGTTCCGTCTGACCTCCACCTCCAGTCATCCTTCACTCATCCTCTGTACAGTTCAGCACAGCAGCATCAGTGGAAATAGGCGCCGTGTTCAGTTAACTATATATAGATGATCATCCTCTGTCATACAAACATAAATACACCACCGCTGCTCTGCCCCACCCCCACCCACAGAGGAGGCCTGTCGATGTTCAGCAGTCTCTCATCGTAAACGCGGCGGCAGGCTAGAAATCTTCCATCTTTCTCTGTAGCATAGATTTGGACTTTTTATGGTAATTTTTTATTTATTTTTTTTTTTTACTTTTCCTTCCGATATTTTTACTCGATGACATATTTGTCAACAACAAAGGAGGTTTCTGTAGAGAATCTGACGGAGCTGTCGCCGTCGACATGGGACACTTTGGTAACCTGGAAAGAAAAGAAAAGCAGAGTTAGGGAATGTTTTATTAAACACTTAAAGCATAACTTCAATATCTGTCATTAAAAACCTTAAAAGGAGCTTTCCAAATTAAAAAATGTTGTAGAGGAAAGCAGCTCAGGAGGTCTGAGGGGTACATTTCAATAAGTTTCCAACCAGACATGCTGGAAGGATGAGGCTGACCTGAATGTCACAGTAGTTGCGTTTGGACACGAAGGACACGCTGATGGGAAAGAAGTCGTTGGGCTGGCCGGCCACGCTGAACTCCAGGCTGCCGGTTTTGTTGTTGGCGTCGATGACCGGTAGGCACCACTCCAGCACGCTCCGCCGGCTGTCGTGTTTGTATTCTCCATCCAGATCTCCGATCACAGGAGCTCCGACACCGGACCTGATGGCACCGACAAAGAGCTGCGTCAGAGAATGGCTCCTTTTATTCTGAAGGATGCTGGTTCAGACTCACTCATCCAGGTTATAGTCAGTCCAAAAAAGTGCAAAAACAATCCACTGGACTTTGTTTCCAAGTCTGAAGACATTTCTCTTTCCATCCAGGAAGCTTTTTCAATTCAAAATGTCAGAAATAGCGTCGAGTTCCAGGTTTAATACAGTAGCCCAACTAAACCTTGTTTTGGCTTCGTAAACATGGAAATAGAAACGGACAAACGGGTTGGCCCGTTTGAAATTGCAGGCTAGCAAAGAAGCCAAATCAAGGCTATTTCTGACATTCTGCATTGAAAAAGCTTTCTGGATGGGAAGCAAAACGTCTTTAAACTTGGAAACAAAGTCCAGTGGATTGTTTTGGATTTCTGAAGGAAGTTTTTGACGCCGCTTGACTCAAAGGACACGGCCTACATGACCAGGGTTGAAAAACACAGCCGCATCAGTATCCGTATTAACCCTGAAGCCTGTTAGCGCCTCAGCGAGGTAGACGCTCCTGTCAGATCATGGGAGACGTATTTGCATAAATAATGCAATTATGGTAACAAAATTGCTTATTTCTATCCTTAAATCAACAAAGAATGCTATTAAACATAGTTAAAAAAATGTTTCTGAGAGAACATCATTGGACATGCTCAGAGCCGTCCAGCAAAATATGAATAAACCATGTTTATCTGCATTTTAGTTCTTTTGTTTAGATTATATACCATAATGTTAACACAAAAGGCTAACATAAAACTCAAAAAGACTAGATTTATATTTAAATCCAAAGCCGAAATAGTTAGCTCCTGGGAGTAGCGTAGGATCCCATTTCCTATCGGGAACAGACGATTTATTTTCTCAGGAAGTACATTAATAATAGGGGTG